CTACTACCCAGAGAAAACTACTAATATTTCCATGTTAAACATTTCCCTACACTTAGGACTTGTTCTTTTAAAAATGAGGCACATTTTAATTTGCTCTTTGTTATTAACATGACTTTTTCCCTGTAAGTAGAATTGCATATAATGGTTTTAAAACAGTAACTCTATAGGTCTAACCATATCAGGTACTGTGAGAGTTACGCCCCACTGTCCTCTGGCATCCGTTTTGTGTACTAGTCAGCTCTCAAGTCCTTCAGAGAATTGGAAAAATGTTCACTGAGATCTTGTGCTGTTTTCTGTGACTCACATGAACATTCCCAACAGAGATAGTCTGTGTGACCCCAGAGCTAGCAAGAATTTTCTGAAGCAGTGGCAAGGAGGAGAGAGATGACAGAGCACCTTTGAAGCCCAGCCTTGGTTACTGCAGGTCATTCTCAGTATACCTGAGCTGTTAGTGACCTGCCTTCCAATTTCTGTAGCTGTCACTGTAGTGGTGCTGCCAAGTGTGAAGGGGGCACATTGTGGTAGCCAGGCTCTGTTCTCTCAGCCTCACTTAATTCTCATACTTGCCCAGCAAAGTGAAGGTGGGGTTTTGCCACCTCAGTTCACAGCAAGTCTGGGAGGCCAAAGGTGCATGGCTAGGTCATCCAGCTCTTGAAACTGGCCTGTTCACCACTTTCCTGTTTAATACATAAAATTAACTTTATAGATCTCCTTCCTTTTTTTCAGGAGGTTGCTTACTAGTTGGATTTACACTGCTTTCCTCTCCTCACTCACTCCTGGAAGTTCTCCAGCACGATAAGCATTTTGTATAAAGCCCAAGAATTCTAAAACAAAATTTAGACCAGTAAGAGTTTGAGGATTTCACAGTGAGGAAAAAATTTTATTTTTCTTACTTTAATGCTATAGCACCCTTTACTAGTAAGGACCCAAGAAGGTATGGTCACTGAGATTTCAATGTGGAAACTGTATGCTTTAGCATCTCTACATAATCATACTTATTTTAGCCATTTTAAATGTTCATGATCCATTACCAAAAAATAGAGCAGAGTGTCTGCTCTGAGGACTATCACAAGCAAAGGTATGTTTTCCTGTCAGGCCTTATAGACAGCCTCCTCTCCTCGCTCTGTCTTCTCTCAGAATTATGGTGTCTGTGAGCAGCCTAGGGCCCAGTTTCTGTGGGTTATGAGAAAACCTTGGAAGGGGATTAACTTTTCGGTTGGCATCTTCCATGCATGATCTTTCTTTCCTAAAGTTTGATTCATTTGAGAATGTACCTTTAAACTGGCTGTTCTCCACGTTCTTTTTTCCACCTTTCCTTTACCAGTGCCCATCTTCTTTCTGGAAAAATACCTCTTAGCCAGAATTTTACCCTGTGCATTGCCCAACGATGTGCATAAAAACAAAATAATCTTCCAGAACACCAAAGCCAGGGACAGTTCAAAATACAGTTTTCAGGGAAGTGTCTCTTACAGATTAATACAGGCATCAAAACTTCCATGAGGCTCTGTGGCAAACCTACCCTCTTGTGTGCAGAATTTTTCTAAGGTGGATGCTGAGAGGTTCTGAAATGAGATAGATTATAGAGAAGACCATAAGGATGTTGACAGTTTTCATGTAAAGTTTTTTCCAATCTTCCACTGTTGTCAAAGAATCTATTGCCTTTTAACAAAACAGCCTTTCATGTATAAGCATAGGCAGTTCTTGTCAGGTGTTGATTTATTCCTGGGACAAGTTGTTAACTGGCGGGGGCGGGGGGGGGGGGCGGGAAGATCTTCTGATGGCTAAAGCAAGACACATTAGTAGTAGCGATTCTTCTAAAGGTACCTGTGGTATCTGTAGTACTCCCAGAGACACTAAATTAAATGTACAGATTAGAGAGAATTGTATACTTATACAGAAGTTGAAACTAATTTAGCTTATCACAGATCATGAAATATTCTGGCAAGAGTCCATCTTATTTTCTGTCATAAAATCAGTGCCTTTACATCCTTTTAACAAAAATAGCATCATAGTCTAGTTACTAGTTTTCTAGCAGAGTATGCCCTTGTCTTTCATTAAGTATAAAGGAAAAGTGTAATGATAAGCATATTGTGACAGTTCTGGCCTTAAAGACTGGACGTGGTGGTGTATACCTGTAATCCCAGCACTCCGGAGGCTGAGGCAGGAGGATCACCACGAGTTTGAGGCCAGCCTGGGCTAAGGCTAGTCTGAACTACATAGCAAGACCTTGTCTAAAAAAAAAAAAAAAAAGACTGGCATTCCCTCTTGGACTTCCTGGCAGACACGTCCCTAAATTCAGAGAGTTTAATCTACAGCTGCAAAGTTGTATGAAGTTATATTTAAAGCATATGTACCTTTCATTTAAAAATGTTTTTAATTGGCAGAAGTACCTGCTGACCATGTCAAATTCTCACAGTAATGTTTAAATACAAATATGTGACTTTAACTGGGGAAAAACAGTTACTTCCATTTTTTTGTTTGTTTGTTTTGGGTAGTACTGACGATTGAACCCAGGGCCTTTACACTGAGCTACATCCCCAAGTCTTTTCTTCTTTTTGAGACAGGGTCTCACCAGCTAATTAGCTAAGATGCTCAAGCTGGGCTCAAACTTGTTATCTTCCTCAGCCTCCTAGATTGCTGGTATTACAGGTGTGCACTACCATGTCCACCTCCCATTCTTCTTAAGATGCATTTTCAGTACAACTTTACTTTTAGTATCATAACTATTGAAATTTTTAATATTTTATTTTTCATTACTAATAATTACAGTGGTACTCTTTTAATTCTCCCAGACTAGAAATTTTAATTTCAATTTATGCCCATATTTCTGTTGCAAAGAAATACGCTAGACTTCATAGCATAAAAAACATTCATGGATAATTCTGGAACTGAGTGGAATAGTACATAAATTCAATGAGAATTAGAATTGATAAGAAATATCTCACTGTTTAGAGGCCCTGAGTGTCTGTTTTGCTTTGACCTAGCCACAGCCCTACTCTGCAATATGAGAATAAGTAGAGCAATTAGAAAGGAGAAACTAGACACAAAGAACAGTCAGAGATCATCTGGCTGCAGATGAGCAAAAAGGATATATTTTAAAATGTAACAGGTCCCTATCTCCCTGTGAGGGATAGCTGAATCTGTGCACCCCAGGAATGGGACCTCAGTGGGCACAGTGATGCACAACTAATCCTAGCTACTCAAGAGGCTGAGGCAGGAAGATCACAAGTTCAAGGCCAGCCTGGGCAATTCAGTGAGACCCTTTCTCAAAATTCAAAAAGTGTTGGGGATGTGGCTCATTGGTAAAGTGCTGACCTATGGAGAGGTCCTAGTTCAATCCCCGGTGCTACACACATTAAAAAACCCCTCAAACCCTTACCCTCACCATCACCATCAGATCAGTCTGTTAGTGTTTGCACTTCAAAGAGATCCTTTAGGCACCTGGGAAGAAAGCAGCAAGCTGTGTAGGGAGAGTCAGTCCAGCACATGTCTGGCACTGTCAGACCAAGAGCTTTACACTCAGTAGGCTTTGTCTGCTGAGTACAGAGGCTACAGACGTCCAATGTAGGAAACTGTCAGCACACAGGGCACTGCAGGAGATGTAGGCCTGTGAAGTGAGGCCAGCAGGTCAGCTCTCAGCATATGCTGCTCAGAAAGTTAAAACTTCCTTGAGAAAAAAAAAATCCACCTTAAGAAGCAGAGTCAACTCCACTCATTTGACATGGAAACAGAACAACCACAAAAAACTTAAATGTAGACTCAAACTTCATGGGTTTTGGGGAGGAGAGGAGGTACAGGAGTTGTTTTTTTGTTTTTTTGTTTTTTTGTTTTTTGGCAGTACTAGGGGTTGAACCCAGGGTCTTTGTATTGAACTACATCCCCAGACTTATATTTCTTTCTTTCTTTTTTACAACAAGTGCTCACTAAGTTGCCCCAGTCTGGGCTTGAACTTAGATTTTCCTGCCTCAGCCTTTTCCTTATTCCCTTTAACTTTAGCTCAGTTAGAAATTTCCAGGAAAAATAACTTTCAGAAATTTAGTACTTCCATTTCACTTGTTTTTATTTTGTTAAGTGCAGCAAAATTAAATTTTTTTATTCTGAATAATTTGTGTGATAGTCATTGCATAGTGGCTTTTATCAGCCATTCATAGATACATGTCCAGACAGGGCTGTGTGGACAAAACAGTAATGACACTGAAAGTCCTCTGGCATTTAATGTGAGCTTGTCATTGGTCCAGTTTCTTATCATATATGTACTTAGTGCTCCCCAAACCTGAGTCGGGGACTGTTGCCATATTATAGGTTGAGATATGGAGGCCCACAGTTTTACTTGGCTAAGGTCACCATGGACCAAGGTTTGAGCTTAGCCATTGAACTCCTCAGTGACCTGCTCTCTGCCGACTCCAGGAGCTTTCTGATGCTCCTAGGTTATTCCTGGGTGTTAGTACTTTTTTCTGCTTTGAACTTAATAATTTTTAAAAACATGTATTTATAAAACCAATTAAGTAATGACTTTGAAAAGGAAACTGGACAAAAAATAACAGTCTGAAGAATTTGGGAGCCGGTTACTCTGTTGCTGAGCATGAATCTGGCACTGCCCAACAGGAAGATGTGACAGGATGCCTTCTTCCTATATCTTCCTTGACTCTATTGCTCCATGTGGCTAATTGCACTTGGTTGTACTTGTGTCTCCTGCCTGCCAGCAGCTGATGGAGTTAGAGGGGCAAGGGAGGGTCTCTGTCCTTAAGAAATGGACAACATGGGTCTGATGATTGACAAGAAGATGTATATGTCTTTTAAATTTTTTAAGCAGAATCCTCATGACTCATTTGTTTTTACCTCTTTCCTCATGGCCATTTCTCTTGAAGTTTTAGTCCATCAGGCTGTGCAGAATGACAGTGAACCAAAAAGCTGTCTTCCCTGTAGTGTTTTTTCAGTAAGGTAAGAGCCTGACCAAGAGATTATATTTTGGATGTGCTGAGTTTTTATCTATTTTTTAGGAGCCTCGGAGTCTACTCAAGGAAAAATTAAAGGTGACAAGATGAGCCCTCACTTCCATGCAAGCCGAAACAGTTGCATGTGTGGAAACCTCACAGTGCCTAGCGGAGGTCGACCAGCCCTGGCTCCAGTGACTGGGGTGCAGTGCATCCAGATCCCAGTGCTGCAGGTAGGAGCCAGTGGGCCATACTGGAAGTTTAGGTTTACAGGGGTAGGTTGGGTGAGAGGAGTAGTACCGTGTCTGCATCCTCCATTACCTTCTAGTAAAATGCCCCTCTTCCCTCTAAACTGCCCCAAGTCCTTGTTTAACACCTCAGACAGCTTAATAACTCCCCGCTTCTCTCTTCTTCCCAGCCTGTCTCACTGCATCCGTGCAAGTTCTTACCTATGTTAGGACTGACGCATCAGGTTTGTGGCACTGTTACCCTGTGTCTAGTTCCTCCATGGGGTCCATCTCCTACACTTCTCTGAGGTATAGATGCCTATGTCCCTCTCCTGCCAAGGGCTCCCTGTGGCTTTCTTGTGCAGGATAAAGTCTTTGAGGCTGGCTGTGGTGATGCCATGAAGCTGCTGACACCTCACAGTGCCCTACCCCTCCCCTCCTCAGACCCTATACTACTTTCTGAGTGAAGGGGCTCCTTAAACCACACTGGACACCCTGCCTGTGAGGACTGCTCCCAGCACACCAGTAGATGTAGCCTTCCTATGTTAGAGGTGGTAGAACCTTTTTATTTTTGTTCAGTTTTGTCTTAACACACTGAGCCCCTAAAGATCAGACCTAGCCACCGTGAGTCTCAGCAGATGCTTGATGCTTGCAGTCAGTCCCTGAGCATCTGCTGAGCACAGACTTTTCATCAGCCCCATGCACATCTGCACTTCCAGTCTCACTTCTAAGGGGCTAGAATAGGGAAGAAAGAAATTTAGATGCAGAGAAATCTAGCAGACACTTGGCCAGGTCCCATGCACCTCTTCATTGCACAGGCAACCACAGATATCAAGGAACAGCCAAGTGCTGAGCTTACTCTGGATTTGATAGTTAGAAGGAAAGTTTAGAGACAGGCAAGATCCATTGGGTCTATAGTCCTGGATGAGGCTCATAAAAGAAATAGGGCCAGAGTGACTATGAATGGTCCTTAGGGCTCAGGAAGGTGAGAGGAGGGAGTCAGCAGGTTAAAGGGTAAGCTGGGGGACAGGCAGTGACAGTGAGTGCCTGAGGACCATAAACAAAGCTAGGTTTTATAGGGGTGGCAGGGACTCACAGACTTGTTCATAGAAGTGGCAGGAAAACATGTCACTTTCAGGTTTGAAGAGGTAAAGAATGCTCCCAAGTTACTGGCAGTGAAGAAGGTAGAGATTAGGCTCAAGGGAACCTAATCACAGCTGGGAGGTCAGAAGTAGAGAAGGCAAGGCCAGGGATTTTGAAGTGGAGAGACTGCAGGAAAGGGCAGAAAATGAGCAAGTTGGGAAAGGCATAGTGGATTTTTTTAAGGGTCACTCAATGAAAAAGACACTTTGAAGTCAGGGAAACCTGGGTTTGAATATTTAATCTGTCCCTTGTCAGCTTGTGTGTAGTCTTGTTCAAGTTACTTAAGTACTCTGGTCTCAGTTTTGCCATCTGTAAAGTGAAAACAGTAGTGCACAATGCCTGATACCTGGAAGGTCTCAAGGCAGTGGAAGAATAGGAGGAGGTAGGGTGAGGCAGCAACCCAGGACACTCATTGTTGGACTTGTAGACAGCCATGGGCTAGATGTGTATGTAAAAGACAGGTGAAATGTGGAAAAGTGTCCCATTTTGTAATTGGATCATAGGTAATATGGCAGCCTCTGCCTCTGAAGGGCCCCTCCATCTGCTCTGGTCCCTTCCATTTGGCCTGTGGGTAAAGCCAGGACATACAGGGAAGCCCTCTGTGTGGCTTGACAAGAAACTGGAGGCATCCGTAAGGAATTTTTAAACACTTCATAGAAGGGAAGAAGGGGAGCATTCAGGTTCAGGCCAAGGGAAAGATTTTTGATAAAAGGAGGAACTGGGGAGCAGGGGAAGAACCAGACAGCAGAAGATTCTAGGCCCAACTTAACTTAGTCTTATGAACCTTGGGCAGGGATCAGGGTGCGAGAGTAAGGCCAGGCAGGGTGACAAGTAGCCCCCCAAATCCTGATACCAATTACTGCCAGGTCACTGGGCTGCAGCTAGAATATGTAGGTGGGTTGACTCTACTCAGCATCACAGTGAAGAGCAGGGCAAGATGAGCAATGTTGGTATGCTGTGTTTAAACATGTGAAAGGCCTTTTTGATGGTTGCCTTCCCAGGATGATCCCTCAGGTGAAGGAGTCTTGCCACTGGCCCTCAGCCCACAGCCCTCCACCTTCCACCCCTACTTCGCCATGGATTTGCCCATCTACGTCCTCCAGGTCTGGATGCCTTCTAACTTTTGCTTTTCTTATTATTACTGTAGCATGCAGATTAGTTGCTAAGGTAGGTCTGCTATGAAGCTCTGGTTGGGTTGGTGTCTCTCCTGCCTTTTGGAAAAGGTATATTAATGACATGGCTACAAGTAAAGCTCACATATTGTAGCATAGACAAGAAGAAGTTTAATATACTCTTGAACTATTTTATATTTAAAAATTCTAGTTATTTTCTCCTGTGAGAAGTAAGCCGGCCAATTTTTACCTTGAGGGAGAAAAGACCCAAACAAGTTCAGTAGTAACTTAAGTACGTGGTTAAGCTGAGACTAGGTAGCCATGGATAATTTAGATTTGTATATGAAATAGTGAAAGTGGGTAGCTTATTAAATTACTAACAATTTGACTTAAGTATATTTTTTAAATCCATTCACATAGTTTAGTTTTGTTGCATTTGAGTTGAGTTATTGGACATTTCTCTTAACATTGAAAACAAATTATCAAAGCACTTAAAAGAGGCAGAACACCAGGCTCCTAGACAGCTGGAGGAGGGTAAAGTGGAGGAGATTTTGGCAACATATATCAGAAAAAGCTCAGAACCACCTACTGTTTCTGTCTAGCAAACCTACTCATGAGACCATTTCTAAAGAAATTAGGTAGTAAAGTAGCCAAAATTCACCACATCCTATAAGCTAAGGATGCCAAAGGAGGAGTATTTCTTCCAGTAGGAGGAGACAGTTAGATGGTGCTGGTAGGGCACAGGCTCTCCTGCTCAGCTGTTGATGGCCCTCTCAGACACTTGATAACCAGCAGGCTGCTTACTGCGTGCAAAGGGTTTGAAAGGATTTCAAAACTAAACAAAGATGATTCTGTTTTTCTAAAAAGATACATGGGTGCTTGAATATATGTGGATATAGAAAAAATCTGGAAAATGTATAATTATTGAGTTCATTTGAGCAATTGAGTTATTGAGTTTCATTTAAAAGATAATTTGACATTTTTCTTTCAAGGGACACAGGTTTAAAATAAGGGAAGAACATGTTGTTTTGAATTAAGAAAAGTCAGGTGCCTTATTACTGCTGGCCCCTCAGAGTTTAGTTGCCTATTATAAGAAGATGCGGGGCTGTGTTCTGTGTTCCTTACCACAAAACCTGGCCCTCTGCCTCCCTCCTCTTTCCCTTCTCACTGCTCTGCTTGGTTTTGCAGGAGGTGCTTCCAGCACCTGGAGGTGTTGCTAGGCCTGAGGCTGCACAGGTGCCAGGAAGCACTATCAACCTGCGGGACCTGCAGTGACAGCAACCCATGCCTGAGTGAGATCAGGGCCACCTTCCAGGCTGTGCCTCCTCGGATGATGTGCTACAGGGCCTGGAGAGACCCTACTTGGTTTTTGCCTAGAAGTCCAGCCTATTTCTTTAGAGACTTTCAAGTACATTTATCAAAAATGTTTTCTTCTGTTTTATCAGGAACCAGTTGGGTGGGGCTGAACTCTGAAAATGCCTTTATAAGCAAAGTGCTTTGGTGAGGCACATACTACTTTGTCCATTCTCAGCTGTGTGCTTTACAGCCCTTTCCCCAGATCCTATTGGATGTGAGCTGCTTATAACACATGTTGCATTAAAAGAGAAAAAGAAAAGACCTATGCAGGAAGTGGTGTTGAGCACAGGTTCCCTGCTGAAATACAACTTTGTAATAAGTCCAAATGCAATCTTTCAGTTTCAGTGTTTTAGTATTTTGCCCAAGAGTGATTTAGAAGTCCTACTTTCCTTTTCTGAGAGTTCATGTGATGGGCCATGTCTCAACATGTTTGGTGCTTTTTGTGTATGGGTCGTTTTTGCCACATTGTAGGCCAAAATTGTCACATTGCCACAGTGAAGCCAAATTCTGATCCAGGTTCTGGCAAAGCAGACAGGCAACTAATTTGGGAAGAAAATGGTTGGTGTGTCTTGGGGCCTGACCATGGCCTATTAGTGAGCTCTTTTTCCTACAGCAAATGGATAGCTCATAATTTGGGGATGGGAAAGTTAAAGCTTTTAAAATATTCCTGCCTCACAAGTGCAAGGTCCTGAGTTCCATCTCCAGTACCAAAAAACTAAACTTTCAAAACAATTTTTCTAAATTCCATATTTGGGCATTCATGTTAAATAGTAATTTGACAACAGTTTATAAAGCAATGTTCTAAATACGGTAAATTATATATACAACTGTGATAATGGTATGCATATGTTTTCTGTTGAGGTTGTATATGTGCGTATAATAGGTCTACTTATATTTTTACAGAATAAGGTCTGTCTTGCAAAGGCAGCTAAGTTGATTACCTTGCCCATACTTAAGTTAACAAACTGAACATGGGGTGACTGAGAAATTTTTATTTTCTTGTGCCTTTTGAAGTGTATGGTTTTTCAGATACTGTTCAATTCTCAGACATAGAGTCATCCAAACTCTTCCTGTTCTGGGTTTATTTCTCAGACTTTGAGACTTTGGCTTTTGGGGAGGATGCCTAGTTTGAGTGTAAGTCCTCTCTGTGTCCTGCTTTGAGGTGCTGTCTACCCAAGTAGTGCTCCCTACAAAGGAATTACAGCCCCATTTGAGAATGGTTCCTTCCCACAAATCTCTGTGCTGCATCCCAGACCCAAGATGAGGGGTTGAATTTGCCCACAATGGTATCCAGTGCTCTACTCCCTCTAATAGAGAACAAGGCATCCTTGTCTCCTCCAGGAGGAGGACCTGCACCCAGGAGCCCATCCTATAGTCAAGGCCCTGCCTTTCTCCCACAGTCTCCAATAAGTGTCTACCACTGAATGATTGGGACAGGTTGTTAGTGTTCTGGGACTGAGGCTTCCTCCCTGCTGGCAGTGGGCCCAACTCCTAGTGCAAAAAAATAAAAGCTTTTGTATTATCACACATCAAATGGTTTCACCCTGGCTTCATTTGAGGGACTGTGTATATGTTGTTGAAATCATTTCATCTAGCCAGCTTGCCTCTGGCTTTTGTCTTTTGGGGCTGATAGCACATATTTCAGCATAGATTGGCTTTTGTTTCCCAGCTATTTCACATGAGAACCAAGATCGCAGTCCTTTTCTCAGGCATTTGCTTAGGATTAAATGAGAAGGAGAAGGATGCTGAGAGTTGGTGACAGTGGTTGCTTCCTTAATCAGGCCATGAAGACATCAAAGAAACAAATTTATTTCAGAAAGCTTATAGGAGAGACAGAGGGCAGAGTCAGGATCCCTTCAGACCCAGCCTGCTTCTGCTGCTAACCTCTTCTGCACCCTCAGCCAAGCCAGCTGTAGCCTGGTAAAGGCTAAGTGAAGAAGAAAAGCTGCTCCTCTTTATCCTTGTCCATCAGCATGTGATCAGAGGTCTCCTTTACTTTGGGAGCTGGAGGGTGGGAGCGGCACACCAGTTTTCTGCCTCTCTGCAGGACAAGTGAGTTTGGTGAGCTTGAGTATGGCTCCTTGCACTGAGAGTGTCATGTAGACACCGTAATGCCCATATACCTCTTTGGTCAGCATGGGAAGAGGCCTAAAAATGTCTGGTCTACTCCTGTCGAGCCAGGTCAGCCCACCAGGCCAAGGGCTGGAGTTTTAAGTAACTTAAGAATGTGGAGTTCATGTAGCAGTTTTCAAGCCTAGTATGTGGAGTACACCTCTTACAAGGGGTCATCTGGAAACAAACTGGGAAATAACAGGCTAAACTGAGTGAACCCAGTTCCTTAGCTGTAGGTTTACAGAGAAGACCTTACAGCAGTGGTGTTGACCTATGGCCCAAACAGCCCACAGTGGGCTGTTCTGTATCATTGAAAGCTCAAGGTTCACCATCACTGCCCTACACTGTTCACCCTTCCCTTATTGATGGCATTTTTTCCCCACCAGCTCATCTGTCTGTTGGGAAACATGCTCAGCTCCAGGCCTTCTTTTACACCCAGGCTTCCTATTTCAAAGACCCAAAGGCAAGTGGTTGTCCATGCCCATTCACCATGGGAAAAAGACCTGGGGCCAGTAGTAGGGGACCCCAGCAATAGATGATGAGCTTGGCCTGAGGTCTAGAGGGAGTATAGTGAGGCGGTGGGACACTGGGGACTGAGCTGTTGGTGCCAGCTCTAACCTGAGTGCCCACACCTGACAAGTGGGAGAGTGGGGCGCCCACATTCTCTGGCAGAATGTGTGTGCAGGAAGAACAGTGTAGGCATAGGGCTGGCAGCCAGGAAGGACATCCTGGAGGATGCAGCCCTGAGAGTGGGAGTGCCTGGCAGCAGGAACACTGCTCCACCTTGGTTTTGCTCTGAATGTGGCTGCCTCCCTTCAACCTTAGTGACACTGTGCAAAGAGTGTCATAGGGGCTCAATCTCCAGGCCCTCTAGGATCCCTCCCTAGCATGACCCCAGTTATTCCTCCCTACCTTTTTCTTGATCTCAGCCTGGTCCCGGGCCCGAGCCCGCTGCAGTCGCTCCTCCTGCAACAGCCTTTGCAACTGGACTTTCTCTTCCCGAAGCCTAGGTGGCAAGAGGGGTCATGCAGGACCTAGGGCCCTGGGAGATAACATCACAGCCCCTTCCCACTCCTGTACCCACAGGCCTTTGGGTCAGACAGATCATGTCCTGTGTATGAAAATATAACCAACTCTTCTGCTCTTTCTGCCATGTGTCAGGGCCTTGCCACCTGCCCACAGTCAAAGCACCACTGCTTCTGGCCTAGGCCCAGGGTAAGGTAACCAGGGCTCTGCCTGGACCTTGGCTTTTGCTCCTTGAGACCTGGCTCTGGCCTCTAAAGAGCTGATGTAAGCTTCAGATTCGACACCTCCAAGAGGCACATTTCCCTAAATTCACATCCACATCCTTGACTTGTGTGCCAATAGCCTCATGATCACCCATTATGGCCCCGTACCCAGCTAAGACAGTGGCCCTGCTTTCTGCCTGCCATCAAACATTTGTCCAGTCCCCACTCAAAGCTGAGTGCTGGGGACCTAGAAGAGAAGCCCTCATGTTTGTGGTAGAAGCAGACATTTGCAGAGTCTGTATCTTAGGGTCTTGCACTGATAAGTGAGTAACCCAGGCAACCCACAGGCTGGAGAGGCCATGACCCGCATCTTACCTGGATCCTATCCTCTCTACATGAACCCATGCCCACTTGTCCCACTAGACAAGCAAGCTGCCACTTGTCCACCTCAATACTTGACCCCAACCTGGGGTTCCTGGGGACTTCTGAGCCCCTGAACCCAGCCTCTACATCTGAACTGTTGCAGTTGTTTGTGCTTATCCTAACAGTCGCTGCCAACCTCAGCTCCAGCCTCTGTTCCTCCTATCCAGCTAAAAATAAGTAAGTAAATCCTACCTGGCCCTGGCCCTGGCCCTCCCCACTTACAGCCCTTTCCTGACGTCCCTATCCTTGGGACCCAAGCTTTGCTGGCTGTATCCTCAGATGCTCCCGTCTTTTAGACTCCATCTTCTCAGCCTCTGAATCCATGTTACCAGTCACTGTCACCTTCTACAGCTAAGTTTAATTCCCTCTCTGGGTACACCAGACCCAGGGTTCCATCTCACAGCATGGAGGACTGGGAGCCTGTCTCCCTGGTTCACTGTGGTGCAGTAACCATGGGTACCCTGTGCTTCTAGGCCAGGTTGGGGCAGGAGCAGGAATAGGAATGGTGAGCTACAGGGCAGAACAGCTCACTTCATGCGCCTCTCTTTCTCCTTGGCCTTCTCAGCCTGCTCAATCTTGGCTGGGGTTACATGCTCCAGGTTCTCAAGCAGCTCATCCAGCTGGTGCTCAATAATGGTCAGCATCTGTATAGTGCCCAGGTTGGCTTCCTGCTGGGTGCCCACACAATGCCGGTACACATCCTGCACCTTGTAGCTCAGGGTCTCCAATAGCTGGTCCTACAAAGCAGAGCAGACTTCAGCTGTGCCCACCCTTACACCTCAACCTGCAGGTACCAGCCCCCATGGCCATGGCATGCTGACCTCAAGGATGAAGCAGCCAGAGTGGGTAATCACGGAAAAGGTTAAAACAATTTAGGTGCTGGGTTTTCTTAGCCAGACCAGCCCTGTCCCCACTGAGGCTCACTCCTGACTCAGCTCCTCCCCATGCTGCCCTGATAATCCCACCAAGACTCAGTCTCCCCTCTACCAGGGAGTCCCCTCCACTGATCCCAGCTCCCATGGGACATGTCTTGTGTGGCTCCAGGCAGTTGAATTCCCTCTTAGTTTGCTCCGACATTTAGAAAATAGTTAATAGCTCCTGCAGGAGTGAAGAGCAGCAGGCAAAAAGGCCCAGGCCAGGCCTAGGGCAGAGCCAGTGCCCTGTGAAGCCTAGCTAAGGCAGTGATATGCCTTCTCCCTCAAAGCCACTTCCGATGTCCCTGGCCCAGTTGCACACAGTAGGCATTTGGCAGTATTGCCGTGAATTAGGCCTCCAGTTGCTCTCCATATGGCCATGTGCTGAGCCCCTGGCCAGACCCCAGTTCCTGCTGCCCAGAATATCATTAACCTCTGTCCCCTCAGAATTCTTTCACACCCCCATCCTGGCCTAAGGACACACCTCTTCCTTTGGCCCAGGTTTGCCTTAAAGGACACTGTATGTTTAAGAAGCAGACAAGATGGGCATGGCAGCACATGCCTGTGATAACAGCACTCAGAGGCTAAGGCAGGAGGACCACAAGTTCAAACTTAACCTGGGCAACTTAGTGATTTAGTGGGACTGTGTCACAAAATTAAAAGTCAAACAAAGGCTGAGGATGTAGCTCAGTGTGAAGGCTGAGTTAAATCCCCAGTACAGAGAGATGGGGGGGGGCGGTATTTGTGGAGTTAACACAAAGGAGTAAGCAGTGGGGCAGCTGAGCTGGCACAGCATGAGTTCCTGGGGACAGCTGTTCCTGGGGGAACTTTTTGGCCAGGCCCACAGAGCCTAGGAGGTGAGCTGGAGCCTTGCACCTGGGCCCCCAGCTCCCATGAGCTATCATAACTGCTCTTGCAGTCACCTGCAAGTAAGTGGGTTCCCTTCCCTACCCTGGGCCAGTGGTCATACCCACTGCATGTCTACCTGCTGATCACCCTTGTACTCCCCAAAGTGGAAGACTCGGGATTTGAGCTCCAGCTCAGCAGCAGTCTCCTCCTCCTTGGCAAGGGACATCATCAGAGTGGTGATCCACTGCTTCAGCTGGTTGACTTCCCTGTCCCTGGATTGGGGGATGGGGTAGAGGATAGTTCACTCAGAGATCCCAGAGCATGTGCCTTCTTTGAGCCTGGCCTTGTCCTGATGGATACAGGACCATAAGATGCCTAATTGTGTACATGCCAAGGAGTTGAAGATGTTGGTAGAATTCAGGGAATGAAACTTAAAATCTTTAACAATCAACATTGAGGAAAATAAAAATAACAGTTTCACTGAAATATGATTCACAAACAATAAAATTAACATGCCATAAACTTATTTTAAAGTATACAAGTGATATATTCACAGTCACATGACCATCACTATCATCTAATTTAGAACATTTTTATCACCCCAGAATGAAACCCTGTGCCCAATAACAGTCACCACATCCCATTGTCCCCTTTCCAGTTTGATCTTCACCAACCACTAATCTTCTTTGTCTTTTTCCTGAGCACTCCATATAAACAAAGTATGTGGCCTTTTCTGCCTCTGTCTGCTTTCACATAGCGCAATACTTTCAAAGTTTATCTATGTGGTAGCAGGTATTAGAATTTAGGAGCTTGGGGGAAAAAAATTTAGCTTATGTGTCAGAACTTCTTATGGCTGGGTAATATTCTACTGTATGGCTAGGCTACACTTTGTTGATCTATCTGTCCACTAATGGACTTTTTTGCATTGCTTTCACCTTTTGACTCTGAGGAGCAGTGCTACTGTGAATATTCATGTGTAGATGTTTGTGAAGATAATGTTTCTAATTCTCTAACATATATATTCAGGCAAGAATATATATGCAATACTGAACTTTTAAATGAAGTAATCTTCACAATCATTATGGTACATACATTGACCACCATATGTTAAGGTTTCCTGAATGTGACTCCTGCTCTTATGCTGGCCAGGGCCCAAGCAGTGTTGACACCTGATAGAAGCCCTGATCAAAGTGAGGGCATAGACATCCTGCACTCCCCCAGCAGTGTCTGGAAGGCACTAAACTCCCCACTCAAAAGACAAAATGGCTGAAAAGATTGTTAAAACAACGTAATTATACATAGTTTACTGGAGACCTTAGATTTAAGGACACACAGGCTGAAAGTAAAGGGTTAGAAAAAGCTAATCCATGCAAATGGTAACCAAATGAGAGCAAAGACTGCTATATTCATTTGAAGTTAAAAACTCAGAGGGAAAAGATCCAAATAAAATCAGAAATTAAAGAAGAGACATTTCAACTGATGCCACAGAAATAGGATCATAAGGAACCTACTAGACAGCCCAGAAATGGACCAATTCCTAGAAACAGACAACCTACCAAGATTGAATCAGGAAGACACAGTCTGAACAGATCAGTATCAAGGAGATTCCACCAGTTAAAAACAAGAAGAAAGAAACATCCAGGACTAGATGGGTTCACAGATCAGGTGACTTCTACCAAACATTTAAGCACTAACATCAATCCTTTCATTCCTACAAAACATAAAAAAGGGAAGAACATTCCAAGCTCGTTCTATGAAGTCAGCATTACCTATTACCAAAGCCAGACAAAAAATAGCACAAGGAAAAAAAAAAAACCAGGACCAGCATCCTTGATGAATGTAAATGTAAAAATCCTCAAAATACTAGGAAATTGAATTCAACAGCACATTAAAAGGATTACACACCATGACCAAGTAGGATTTATCCCTGGCATGCAAGAATGGCTCAACATACTAATCAAAGTGACACATTGTATAAAGGGCCCAAACATTGAGGCACAAAGCTGGAGTCTCAGCACTCAGGAGAATTGATTGAGCCAGCTCAAGACCAACCTTGGTAACATAGCAAGACCCTGCCTCAAAAAAGAATGGATAAAAATTACCTTATCATCACAGTACATGATGAAACTGCATTCCACAAAATTAAGCATGTATGACTTTTTGTATGTCAATTATGCCTCAATAAAATGATCTGAAAAAAAAACAGTGTAATTCCAATTCAAGCTGACAGTTTTACAAACAACTATTATGACATTTATGAGACATTAAAAATTTGAAAATGAATATATGGCCCTAAGAATTACTCTTTTTAACTGTAATGGTAGTATTGTGGTTATGTATAAGAATACTTATCCTTTTAGAAATGTCTACTAAAATATCTACAGGGAATGTGATAGTGTCTAGTACTTGCTTCAAAACAATATATAGAAGATCCGCGGACACAGCAGAGGGGTCCCCGGTCCCAGGGAACACCCACCATCCACCCCACGCCAGCCAGGCACATCCGCGGAGGCCACAGAGGGGTCCCCGGTCGCAGGGAAACCGCCCCATTCACCCCACACCCGGCAGCGATCCACTTAGCCAGCCTGGCACCTGCAGAACCACCCCTCCCCCCACCCCCCACCCCCCACCCCCCGCTCCTCTGGCCTCTTACCTATATTGCCACCTGGTTCCACAATACAAAGACACAGGGGACACCTGACCACCAGACCACCATACTGGGTAAGTTGGAGGGCTCATCACCTCCCATCAGAACTGGAACTATCTTCAGGAGAAGGGCAGCTGGAACCTGCAGTACAACCCTGCAGAGTTCAACCCTACAGGAGGACAGGGAGCTCAACTTGGGACTTGAAGCCAGAAATCTGCCAGAATCTCGTGGGTCTGCGACTGGCTTGCTGAGACTCATTGACTTATATCTCCACACTGCTACCCACATTGTCTATTGTGACAGCAGAGACATAACCTGAAGGAGGCCCTTCATTTTCATTTTTATTTTTTATTTCCAAAGTTAGTATTCTTAGTTTGTTTTTTTCTCCTCTTCTCTTTAATATTTTTCCTACTCATTGCAAATTTTTCTTTTTCTCTCCTTTTTTTCTTCTTTCTTTTCTCTTTCCTTTCTCTCTCTCTCTTACACTCACTCTCTTGCTGTCCCACATTGTTCATCTCCCTTTTCGTTTCTGTTCTGGCCCTCATTTGGATTTCTTCTTTATTTTTCAATTATTCTCTTTTTCTTTCTCTCACCTGTGTCCTCTGGCCTAGCTGCTAACCTTCCCCTATCCTTCTACCTATCCCTCCCTCCCCAACTCCTTCTAACTCTCCATCCTGAAGGGTGAAGTTGTTATATTGAAGAGTTTATTCACTATAAACATAAATTGGGTTGGTCCTCAATTTTTATTTAATTCACACAGTTAAAGTTGATAAATTAATAACTACCACAAAATGTCATTTTCTAAGATGTAATTGATGCTATGGTGTTGCTGATTGTATCACTTGGGCTAAGGTGTTGTGATTGATCTAGTCAGTGGTCCCTCCTGGTATAATAAAAATAAGATAGCATCAGAGCCATTAGAGACTCAAAACTTAAAGACCAGCTATGTCTGGAAGACACCTCTGAGAAGGAATCATTCCATAAGGGTTCTAAATACAAGCAACAAAGATATTTGCAATAAGCAATTTCAAACTATCAATCCAGGAGTTAAACTAAGGACAGTACCAAAAACAAAAATGAGAAGACATTTAAGCAAGGCACAAACTCAGACTTCCACCCCACCAAGGGTAAACCCTGGGGAAAATGAGCTGGAAAAGTCCATATTAATCAGCTACCAGGACACCCTGAACTGATAGCACAGGAAGTAACAAAACAGATGAATGAGGCTCTAGAAAAATTCAAAACAGAAATAATCTCCCAGATAACTACAGAGATGGTGAGCAGAGTGAAAGACATGATTAGAGGATCTAGAACAGAAACAGATAAAAAAGTAGATGAGCTCAGAAACGTGCTGGAAGCCATGAATACCCAGCATAAAAAAGAAATGGAAACCATGATGGCCCAATATAACAAAGAAATGGAATCCATGAAACAGATTCAAACAGATATTCAGGAGATTAAAAACTCCACTGAAAGTATCCACAGCAGATTAAGGGAATCTGAAGATAGAATATCAGATATAGAAGACAGTATCGTGGTTAGGGACCATGAAAACAGAGATTTCTTCAAAATAGTAAGGGAACACGAGAAGTCAATCCAGCAGCTGCTAGATGATGGAAAGAAGAATAACATGAGACTGATGCGAGTCCATGAAAAAGCAGGAGAAAGTACAATTGGCGTAAAAAACTGTTCACAAAAGTAATAGTAGAAAACTTCCCAGACAGAGGTAGAGCATTAGACATACAGATAAGTGAGGCATACAGAACTCCAACTAGCCACAAACAAAAAACATCTACACCTAGACACATAATAGTCAAGATCCCAGAACCCAACAGAAGAACAAAATCCTACAAGCAGTTAGAGAAAAGAAACAAATCACCTACAAAGAAAAGCTCATCAGAATCACAGGAGATTTCTCAACACAAACCCTCAAGTCAAGCAGAGACTTGGAGACTCTCCACAGAGAGCCTGGAGTGAAGTATTTCACGCCTTAAAAGAAAATAACTTCCAACCTAGACTGTTGTATCTGGCAAAATTATCTTTCAAAATTGAGGGGGAAATTAGATACTTCCACGACAAAGAACACTGGAAGAATTTCATGAACATCAAACCAGCACGTCAAACAATTCTAAACAATATCTTAGAAAAAGACAATGAAGGTCACAACTCCATGAGCCCCAACAGAGAGAAGCCACCAGGCAAGGCAAGAAACTAAAGGGAAAGGGGGAAAAATAAAAAATAAAAGAGCCAACAACAGTAAAACATCATGACAAGGATGAGTCAATATTTATCAATTATAACCATGAATGTTAATGCCCTCAAGTCACCAATCAAAAGGAATAGACTGGCACAATGGATTAAGAAGCAAAATCCAACAATACTCTGTATACAAGAAACACACCTAACTCAAAAAGAAATTCATAGACTGAAAGTAAAAGAATGGAAAACAGTTCTCCACCCAACAGGAACCTGGAAAAAAGTAGGGATAGCAGTCTTATTTGCAGACAAAGTAGATTTCAAACCAAAACTAATTAAGAGAGAGACAAAGATGGTCACTACATCCTTGTGAAGGGAACAATCCAAGAGGAAGAGCTGACAATCCTAAATGTATATGCACCAAATACG